AGATCGTATTGTCTCCCATAGAGTGTCTCTTGGGAAATTTTCATCATTTGAGTATGTTTCTTTTAAAATAGAACAAAAGAAATCTTCTTCCATTCTTATTATTGTTGTGTACAAGCCGCCACAGTCATGCCATAGTTTCACTGATCATTTCACTGAGTTGCTTTCAGTTGTGTGCACAGATTTTGATGGTTTGGTCATTGTAGGTGATTTCAATATACATGTAGATAATGCTAATGATAGATATGCAATAGAGCTGAGCTCTGTGCTGGAAACCTTTGGTCTCACTCAGCATGTGAGTGGCCCCACCCACAGCAGAGGACACACTCTCGATCTGTTAATTACCAAGGGGGTTAATATTTCAAATGTAAATGTGGTCAATGTTGCTCTGTCTGATCATTTCTGTGTATTTTTTGACATGTGTCTTGATTGTAAACCACCAGCTGAATCTTCGGTTGTTAGAAGAAGACACATAAATGATAATACAGGCGAACTGTTCATGGGGAGGGTAAACTTTGAGAACACGTTGTGTGTTACTGTAGATGAATTACTTGATTCTGTCACCACCACTGTTTTGAATGTTCTGGATACAATTGCTCCTGTAAAGGTTAAAATAGTTACAAACAAGCAAAAAGCGCCATGGACTAAAGCAGACTCGGTCAGGGCACAGAAGAGAGAGTGCCGGAAGGCCGAGCGGAAGTGGCGAAAGTCAAATCTCAAAGTTGACCATGAGATCTTCAAAGATGCGTTGTGCAATTTTAACAGGGAACTACGTAGAACGAGGGAAATGTACTTTTCTGAAACTATTGAAGGCTGTAGCAACAATCTACGTGTTCTGTTTTCAACAGTAAATAGATTGACGAATCCCCCTGTTAAGATGCCATCAGAACTTACTTCCAAATCTAAATGTAATGAGTTTGCTCAGTTCTTTAATGACAAAGTCCAAGGTATCAAAAACGCCATCACCTCCACGATAGAAATAATAATCCAACCGCCAGTGAGGCTTTTTGGGCTGACGCACTTTACACCAGTACAAATTGAAACTGTCCAGGAGATAATCACTAGTCTGAGTTCCTCCACATGCAGCCTGGATGTATTACCTCCTAGATTTCTCAAGTCAGTTCTGAGCAGTCTTTTACCTTCACTTACACAAATAGTTAATATGTCTCTTGAATCTGGAACATTCCCAATGGCCTTGAAAACGGCGGTCATCAGGCCCCTCCTAAAAAAGAGGAGTCTGGAAGCCCTGGCACTCAAAAATTATCGGCCCATTTCAAATCTGCCTTTCATGGGAAAAATTCTAGAAAAAGTTGCCTATAAACAACTTACAGAATTTTTAATAATCAATAACGCTTATGATATGTTCCAGTCAGGGTTTAGACCCCACCACAGCACTGAGACCGCGCTAATAAAGGTAACAAATGACATCAAACTAAACACTGACGCAGGAAAAGTCTCAGTCCTTTTTCTGTTAGATTTAAGTGCTGCTTTTGACACTATTGATCATGGCATCCTCATTCAGAGACTTGAGGACTGGGTTGGTGTTGCTGGCACCGCCCTAAGCTGGTTTAGGTCCTATTTACAAGACAGAAAGTTTTTTGTGGAGATCGAAAACTGTACCTCAGACCACTTGGCCCTGACCTGCGGAGTGCCACAGGGGTCAATCCTGGGTCCTCTTCTGTTTAATATTTACATGTTGCCTCTAGGTCAGTTGATTCACAGTAATAATGTCTCTTATCACAATTACGCTGACGATACTCAGGTCTATGTGTCCCTGACAGCAGGAGAGCATGAACCAGTGGACTCGCTCCTTCACTGTGTCCAGCAAATCGGTGATTGGATGCAAAATAACTTTCTCCAACTAAACACCGACAAAACTGAAATAATTGTTTTCGGACCCCAGAAACAAAGAGAGAGCGTTATTTGTCACCTCCAGGCTCTCTCTCTACAACCCTCAAATCAGGTCAGAAATCTAGGAGTGATAATGGACTCAGACTTAAATTTCAAAAGCCACATAAAATCTGTAACATCAGCAGCTTATTACCACCTAAAAAACATTGCTAAAATTAAAAACATAGTGTCTAAGGCAGACTTGGAGACTCTTATACACGCTTTTGTCTCCAGTCGGTTAGACTATTGCAATGGCCTGCTCACAGGTCTGTCCAAACAGGCTGTAAAACAGCTGCAGTACATTCAACATGCAGCAGCTCGAGTCCTGACCAGAACTAGGAAGTACGACCACATTAGTCCAGTTCTCAGGTCTCTGCACTGGCTTCCTGTTCCTCAGAGAATAGACTTCAAAGCAGCTTTACTTGTGTACAAGTCTCTCCATGGTCTCGCGCCAAGGTACATCCATGACATGTTTGTGCCATATGAACCGACCCGGACTCTGAGGAGCACAGGGACTGGACTCCTGTTAGTGCCCAGAGTCGGTACTAGACATGGGCAAACTGCATTTCAGATTCATGCGGCTAGAGTCTGGAACAGTCTTCCTGAGAATGTGAGACAGGCGTCTACTCTGGCATCTTTTAAATCTAGGCTCAAAACAATTCTGTTTAGCTGCGCATATACAACTGAATGATTTTATCTTTTCATCTTTGTTTTTATCTTTAATCTTTTTAATGCACTGTGACTATTTATGATTTTAGTCCCATCTGTGATTTTAATGTTTAAAGGTTTTTAATTTTTGTGATTTTATTTTTAATGTTTTTAATATATCTTGTGCTCTTAATGTGTTTGATTTATGCATGATGTGATAGGGGATGTGAAGCGCTTTGCGTTGCCTTGTGTAGGAAAGGCGCTCTACAAATAAACGTTGATTGATTGATTGATTGATGAGTTTGGACATGGCTTATCTCAGGAAAAGGCTAAACATTGAAAGGGAAGTGGTAGTCATCGTCATGTACAGTATGTCATTGACTTTTTGGATTGTGATGCCAAAATAGAAGTATGTGGAGAATTTGACAGATTTTGAAAGAGCTAAATTTTTGGCTCCACATGTAAAACGTTGGCTCAATCTGTAGGCTCACACATGCAATACCTTAGTTTGGACATGGCTGATTTACGGTAAATATTAAACATTTTACATTTGCAGCATTGGATATGGAAAAAGCAAACAATATCAGGTTATTGTATTGCATTGTACCTTCATACACACAGTATTGCAGTTTATTGAGAAGATAGGTTTCAAACTGCACCTTAAATGACGGATGAGAAGAATCTAGTGTCTAAGGGGAAATTATTTTGCATGGTTTAGCCCCTGCTCAGCTGATGCTCCAACTTCGTTTTTGTGGCTCGTGACTCAGGGGCAGGTCTGAGCTGGAGTTACCACACTGCCAATACCTGTCCCAGTCTAAACTCTGAGGCTGATTCACACAGAAGCAGTTTGTCAGAAAAATAGACATTTGCACTTCTCTTTTGGCTGCAGCTCTTCTCTCGGCTCTGCGCACCAATTAGAGCAGGCATAAACAAAAGTTAGTGTTATTGACAAAGGGATGGACCTCGGCAGTGAGAGGTGTTAGTGGGATTTGTATTTGTAATCCTCCATTAAAAACTTTTTAAATGAATGACAAAAATTATGATTTGCGCATGCACCCGCCTTTGATAGCTGGAAATGCTTATTTTGTTATTCTTTTGTCTTTGTGTATAGATGGGAGACCAGCTGGTAGATGTGAGCGAGTGTGTGAAGTGTGATTAGCATCCCGCTGCTGCTCCAAAACAAAGCTAATGAAGTAAAAGAACAAAATGAGAAAAAAACACAACTTTCAGAGGTGACAAAAGGGCAGGTCTTAGGTATATAGATAGTAGTATGCAAATCAGCTCTGGTAAAAGTAAAAGTATTGAAATGACAAGAGAATATAAACATGAATCATTATCTGAACAACCACAACAATTGTTTCACCTAGAAGGAGGGCTAATCACTTCCAACTGGTTTTTGTGTTGTCATCTACAAAGTAACTAGTATTTAAAAAATGCATTGAGTAGAATGTACAAATATTGGGTTTCAAAAGAAAAATTAGTACCTATCCGAGTCTAAAATGGTACTTACTTACAATCTATTTCTTACAGGGAATTTACAAAGTAGGCGTTAACAGCGCTTAAGCGTTAACTGCGCAAATATGCGCGTAACATTATTTGGCTGTATGTCCACTGGGCGTGCGCGCAGGTCCGCGGGTTTTGATGCTCTCCCTGTGTAGTCTATGCAGAAGTGTAGAGGACAGTACGGGCCAGAGGACTGATGCATGTGTTTGTCTTCATGGTCTCTGTGCGCTGGTCTGGCCAGACGCAAGACTTTATGAAAGAAAAAAAACGTCCAGAATCACAGTAAAACTGCTGCTCCTCCTGCTAATGTTTAGATACAAGTGCAGTGTGTGTGCAGATGTGATCTAGAGCCAAGGACCGCTAGAAAAATCATGTTTCTTTGAATCCATCCCAAATTAGGCGCAGCCTCGCGTCAATACGTCCGTCATACACGCGTATAACAGTAGTAGTGTAAATATCACCATTGGTTAACATGGAAAAATGTTACGCGCGTCTGCTGCGCGTATAACGCGTACGTGCTGTAACGCCTCCTGTGGAAATTAGCTGTAAGTTAAAGGGATAAGTGGTAATTTCGCAATGTTTGCTTGACTGGATATACTGCCATAATGGGTATTTGTGATCTTTAGACACTGCCAACTCCAAACCTGAATACATTTATTGCTTCCAGTATGCACAGAAAAGTCATTCATCAGTGTGAAAATTGGAAGTGAAAGTTTGGAATAATCAGTAATAAAAACACGTAAGTTTGAAGACGGAAATACAAGTCAAATTATTCTTATTATTAACTTTAATGTTCCCAGACTATTGTATTTTATTCAAGTTAAATATGGAGATTCAGATTAACATTTTGAGTGAGTTTTCAAGACAATTATGTTATCACTGTAGCTCACAAACCCAACCCATTTGACAGCCACAGTGACAGATAAGGCTTTGAGGAGCATGCATACTGATGAGTGTGGTACCTGGTGCAGGAGCTGTCGCAGCCGCTGCAGCTGGGACTCCAGCTGTTTGTTGTGCTCCTCCAGGATGTGCATACGCGCCTCCAACCGGCTCTTGTGCTGCCGCAGCAGCTTGGCCTCGGCCAGCAGGTCGACCTCCTCTGGGGGAGGGGACGGTCCCTCAGGAGCCCCCCTCTGACTGTGCTGCTCTTTCAACTGCTCATACTCCCTCTGAAGACTCCTGCACACCAGGGATACAATAAAATTTGGAGTGCCTAACTTTGTTGGTTTCATAAACACATTTAGTTTGTCCCAACAAAAAGTATTTTCTGAACTTAGATGCTGTCTCTATCTTATTAGAAATCATTGTATCCTTTACATATTGAGAGCTGATTGGCTGAATTGTGTGCTCCAGTTTTAATGTGGGGATATTGTGAAGATTCTTCATATAAACTTTATTGAGCCGGGGACAAAAAGTTCTGACAAAGCTGGAAACCTTTGCCTATTGGCAGGAAAACATTTTAGACTTCCCTTTCTCATTGAGATACCATTCTTTGTGTAGAACCTAGTACATAAACAGCATTCAAATGTACAAAAGAGTCTGTAAGTCTCTTATGCAAATACATGTTTTAAAAGCGATATTTTGTAGCTGAATGATGCCCACTCGTGTTTACCTTTTTAGAATTAAATCCCATTTGAAATAAAAAAAATATATAAAGAATGCTTCTCCAAATCTCTCGCCTCCTTCAATCATTCAGCTCTACTTTCAACCTTAAGCTGCTGCATTTATAAGCTCTGGGCACTGTCCCTGAACAAATAACATGTTTTAAAGGAAACACTAACTGTGATATCTCTTCTAAACCAGTATACAGTTTAGTGAAAGTGAATGTACCTCTGTTCTTCCTCCAGTCGTGCGATGATGCGCTCCAGGTCTCCTCGCTCCTCCCTCTCCACAGCCAGTAGAATCTGTGCAGGACTCTGGGGCTGACTGTAGGGGGAGCCTTCTCCTCCTCCCAGCGTCTGGCAGTACTGAAGAATAAGAGCGTGCTCGTCGTCCCTGAAAAAATACAAGATTGCGTTTACTATTTTAGTTACAATATTGTATAGGATTTTTAAAATAAACTTATGCTGTGGTCAGAACATCTAACATCATATACCAAAGCAAGAAATGTCCGTCTGTGTGTGCCCATGCATGCTCTCTATGGCCAAAAGGTGGTACCAGCGACAAATTAGAGTGGAAAGTGGAAAACACTCAACAACAGGAACAACTTTATCCAAGAAGGAAACCAGGACTGAAAGTGGCAAAAAAAGTTGTGGCTGTATGCTTTTATTTCAAGAAAAACTGCAAAACCAGACCGAGCACTGTGTTTTAAACATGGATCTATAATAATAACTGGATAGGGCAGCCATTCCCAAACTCAGTAACACCGAGGCCCCCTTAAAAATCTGACGGGTCTGCGTGGCCCCCCCAAAATAATAACCAAGAAGACAACATTAAGAATAGGCTCTTCTGGTTATTTTATTTTGGGGAAATAGCCTCTGCTACAAACATTGTAATACAAAAATGATTACAGTGGATTATTCAAGTCAAATAATGAACACAAATATTTTAATATTACAAACAAAACATTATAAATTTAACATTAAATAATTATATATATATATATCTTTTTTTTTTATGACCTCCCGCGGCCCCCCTGCAGTACCCTCGCGGCCCACCAGGGGGCCGCGGACCCCACTTTGGGAGACACTGGGATAGGGTATTACTAGCTTATAGCTGTCCCACCCATAGGCCCGTGGTACTGCAGACTAAATTCACGTGGGCTACCCAGAAAAAAGTCCCATAGATCTCAATGTAAATTAAAACAGAGAACAGAGAAAACAGAGAACCTACAGCTTTCATAAAGATCGGATTTTGTGGGGATTTTAGTGTCCCTTGTTGTCCTAAACTTTTTTTCTTCTTAAATTCTTTGGTTTTCTTTAAATCCACACTTTACTGCCACAAACTCTGTTCGTTTCCTTCCCACTCTGACTCCGCTCTACTGCTGCTCTGATCAGCAGCTCTGATTGGTCAAAGTGCGGTCGAGCCCCTCTGTGCACGTGCATAAGCGTATTTGGCGCAACGCATCATGGGATCTCGTCCACTGCGCAGAACCGGGAGGACCAGACGATGCCCAAATATAGGCAAGTTCCTCTGATATGTCAGCGCCCGGGAAGTCCCATGCGCTACTGAGCACAAGCGATTCATTTGAATAGGGCGCCATCTTGGATCACCGGGGCTTGGTTTTAAACTATGATGTTTGTGCCATTTGTGTAACTTGTAATATACTTCAACACAAACCCAAACCCTAAAATGGGGATATTATAATAAACATATCTATCGTTTCATGCATTGTAAAATTGTTACAGGACTAATATGACCTGTTCTGTAATGCCGTGGCTCTGGGCACAATTAACGCCACACAAGAGAATGGCCATAATTGAAAACTTTACTTAAACTCTTACTACAGGAATACATATCCTAAAAGCACTGGCACAAGTTAAAAAAATGACAGGATGTGATTTTAAACGAGAAATGAAACACACCCCCGCCTACGCCTGGTCTTTCTTCCTGCACACTCTTCGCTCTCTGTTTTGAGTGCTATGTCTCATCTGGACTCACACTGTGCGTTAAAACAGTGAGGCGTTAGAAATTCATAAAAATACCATAAATATAAAGACCATAGAATAGTGTAGCCATCATATCTATTTGATTTCTTGCTGATGAAAACCAATCATAATTAGTCAAAAATGTCTTTATAACCTTTATAGTCGTTCTTTTTAAATGCCGTCACAGCCTCACTGCCTAAAGGCCAGGCCATTCTCAGTCTTCTCCAGGTTAAATATAAGACCCACACGGCTCGCTATTGGAAAAAATTATGGGTAATGAGTACATTTTTCGAAATGGCAGATCACCTCAGGGCGCATATTAAAGACAGAGAAGTCGTTTGTTTGTCACATTGACGGTAATTATGGCATTTCAGCGACTGGAACAGCACATAGACACCTCAGCTTCTCATATTTAAACAGTTGTGTTTTATAATGCCTAGCATACATCGGACTGGCAACTGATTATATCCGTCGCCTATCAGTTGCTGCCCCGCACACATCAACAATCTGGCACAAGCCAGTCTCGGGAATAACAGCGCGTACATCGACAGCAACTGGCCGTCAACTACAGTGTGTTTTCTGGTATAAAACTATACTTCACATGATAACACTCTCAACACATGTTGTTGGAGCGCGCACATCGGGTGATATCTCCGGATCTGAGTACAACTAGTTGCCGAACAGTAGAACACGGACAACTGACTGAATCCGGAGATCAATTGTTTATCTCCAGTTGTAAGAGCGCTCACTTCGACCGATTTTGGCATCTACTGTACTCTCAGTTGCCAAAAGCCGCCTTGCAACAAGTTGTCTCCAGTTACTCTGTCGATGTACGCTAGGCTTAAGCCACCCAATCGTGAGGAGGTTGGACCATATGGAGGTTGTAATTATGTTAAATGGATAAATAACAATCAGAAATTCCACAAATGTATATAAATATTACATTTTGAACATACCACTTTAAGATACTATAAATCAACACTTGAAACAATTTGGCCAAGCCCCTGACTGGTTCAAATGCAAAGGACAAATGTGGCTACAGCAAAACAGTAATCCAAAACACTTCTGATGCATTGCAAGCCATCAACTCAATTCATTTTTCTGTAGCTCTAAATCACAACAGAAGCTTTCTCAGAGGACTTTACAAAACTCAAATAATAATTACAAATAAATGATCACAATCAATCTCCCAAAGAAGCAGTCAAGTTTTTCATCGGTCTGCTACCACTCGCAAAGTGCATTAGTCGCTGTGAAGATGCAAGTTTGAGTGACGCGGTGCAAAATTCTTATCAGGAAGACGCTGGCAAATGCAGGAAATGACATTCTTCATCAAACCTCTCGCCTCGCAGTGGGAGATAGAGATGTCAGAGAGCGGCCGAGCCCCAGAGAACATGGAGGCTGTGCACAAATAAGAGTCACCAATTAAAGTTCGACCTGGCAGCTGGACACACACACACACACACACACACATCATTAGAAAGTGCATAGAGAGAGAGCGCGGGGAAGACACATCTGCCCTGGGACGCCTGCAGACAGGAAATGGGCTGACAGGACTGAAAGAAATTAATGAAGAGCGAGAGCCAATGTACAAAGATCTGACAGAGAGAGAGATCATTAAAGAAGGACTTCTGCTGTGAGCTGCCACACCACAGAGCAATGTGGGTGTTGTGTAAATTGTGTAATAGAAAACTTTCATCAGGAAAAAAAAAATCTAAGTAAAATGTAAATGAAGCAAATCTAGACAAACTTTGTTCTTTTCAAAAACTAAATGCGTTTGTCCTCGGTTTGGAGGTGGTTCTGGTTATAGCAGTGTAAAAAGTTTCTAGATAGATTTCTAGATTTCTAGATAATTTTTTTCTGAATACAACCCCTGCGATAAACGAGGTGTCCCATTGTTAAGGCAAGGCAAGTTTATTTGTTTAGCACAGTTTATATACAAGGAAACTCAATCATACAAGACATCAAAGCTGCATTACCTCACTTTATTTTTGGATTCATCAGGGAAATTCAAACCATATCCATGCAGTGCAGTGGATAGATGTCCTTTTGAAGAATACGCAGCGTAGGTTTGTACTGGAGTGTAATTTTATTTTAGATTGAGTTTGCATGCAACGCGGAAGAGAATTTGGTTCGGGATCAGATTGTAACCAATCACAGCGGACCACTGGCCGCCTACAGGTCTCTCGTTAGCGCGCACAGACAAGCATCATGGCGGAGGTGAACCCTGAAACTTCCTGTGTCTTCGTTACCGGTTATGGCTTACCATCCACGTTCAAATTATGGATCTATTATATTAACTGGATAGGATATTACTAGCTTGTAGCTGAATAACTCATGTGCTCAGGGGATTCTCACGGTACTGCAGACTGAACCAGACTAAATTCACGTGGGCTACCCAGAAATTTTCCCCATAGAACTCAATGCATATTAAAACAGCTCAACCTCAGCTGACAGAGAACCTACAGCTTTCATAAAGGTCGGATTTTGTGGGGATTTTAGTGTCCCTTGTCATCCTGAACTTTTTTTCTTCTTAAATCCTTTGGTTTTGTTTAAATCCACACTTTAGTGCCACAAACTCTGCTCGTCGGGCTCGCTCTAACTCCCGCTCTGATGAACTGCTCTGATTGGTCAGAGCGCAGCCGAGCCCCTCTGTGCACGTGCGTGAGACCCAGTGTGAGACCCACACACGCGTGTTTGGCGCAACGCATTATGGGAGATCATCCACTGCGCAGAACCGGGAGGACCAGACGATGCCCAAATACAGGCGAGTTTCCCATAGATCTTTGCGAGTTCCAGGCGACTTCCGCTAATCTTTCAGCCCCCATGCTGTCACAAAGCGCCACTGAGCACAACCATTCATTTGAATCGGGCGCCATCTTGGATCGCCGGGGCTTGGTTCAAATGTGCAATCCATACTGTGAGACTCGAGGTCTGTAAACAACAACACATGGGCACAGGCTGAGTGGCAGGGGGGTAGTGGGGGCGAAATCTTCGTGAGTGCGGGGAGGGCAAGGAGAAAGAGCGAGGGCAGTGTTTACTTTTGAAACGACTGCTTCAAAATCACAAAGTGAGTTAGTCCAGCTTTAAAACAAATATTCAGTATATTAAAAAGTGTGATACAAGAAGACATAATCCTTCAGTTATACGAACTGATGCAAAAGAACTGTTTTAACCAAGATTTGAACATTGTCAAGAGTAAAAGGAAGACTGTTCCAGATTGTAGCTGCATACATTTAAAATGAAATATTAAGGCAATATTGTACAGCACCACCACAATGATTTTTATATCTCTCTCAATATGTCATCAGCGGCCTTAGAAACGCAAGGACAAGCGTGCATTGTTTTGGTTTCGTGCAATGCATTTCAATTGACTCCACGTTTAAACTCCGAGCGGCGCAGGCCCCAGGA